ATATTTGCCAAGATAGGCAGGCTGGAAATGTGTCTGCAGTTCTAATGATAGTCTTTACCACCTTCTTTTACAGTGTGTTTTGTTTTAACATGAACTTTTACCCATAAACATTCAAAGCGATAAGATGGGATGACACAAGATTGGAAAATTAATTTATTTAAGGGTAGCATGTTGCATGACATCATGTTATGTGGAGAAATGAAGTTGTTGCCATTTTAGTCAAATATTGACAAAATAATCCAACTCATATTCTCATGCAATTTCACAGTACACGCAGATTATGTGTAATTAAAACCACAACAACAGTTATTAATATACCTGTAAAATGGAACGAGTTTTAGACATGTTTGTGTTGGCTAAGGTCAATTAGCTGCAGCAGCCATTTTGAATTGGGTTCACTCTAAAAGTTATTCAGTTGTGGATGTACACTCAACGATTACTTTCTGAACAGTGAGAAATTGTGGTGCATCGCCAAACATTCTCAGAGAGGATGTAAACGAAGAGATATATTAAAAGGAACTTTTTTGGACATAATTCTTTATCTTTGCTACTTATCAGAAACTGAAATGTTGATTAATAAAAAAAATGGTCCAATTACTGCTAAATAAAAACTCACAATGAGCAACTCTTTTGTTTTAAACTATTGAAGGAAATGAGAAAATAATACAGAAAGTGAATGCAAAATTACATTTTTGGCCATGAAAATAATAATAATTTAAAAAAGCATTATTTCAGTGGAGCTATGTCTCATCTGAGAGTTCAACCCAACAACTGACCGAGGGGAGAAGCTGAAATTCATAACTGAAACTTTTACATAAAATTAGCAAACCTCACATTCCCCTTTAAAGCCACCAACTGCTGGAGAGCACAGGCATTAAAAAGGATGGACAGAAAGAATCCGATTAATGTTTACCATGGATCAAATTGTTTCATTCCATTAATCAGCTGCTTCCATTCACCATCCACCAGCGAGCAAAAGATTTGCTGTAAACTTCATCCAAATGAATGTTGTCTGCGTTCCTTAAGCTTTCTTGCTCTGCTTCCTTTTTGCACCTCTGTTACGTTTAAAAATTAAAACCCTGGCATTCCTTGAAGGAATGAATCTCACCCGCTGCCTTTCATGCTCAAATTTTAGACTGAAATCTGATGTTGGACATTTCACTCATTTTGGTCAAACTTTGAGAATAACGTTTTGCACAAACTTTATGTGGCATTGTGTTTTCTTTCTCACATCATCTAATAACCATTGGAGCATTTGTATCAGAAGCATTTGTTATGTGGGGGTCACACACTGGTGTGTGTGTGTGGGGGGGGAGGGGGGGGGCATCTAATTTATTCCAAATTTTGAATAAAGTAGATGCTATTTCCTGCATTCTGGTGTAAGCAACAAGAAAAAGCCTGACCAACAGCTCTCCTTGTGTGAAGAGAGCACACTCTGCTTCTCTCATGCACCCCCCCCCCCCCCCCCATTCGATAACTGCAAGCCCAAACATAGCACTAAGCTAGCTGCTTGCAACACAGCTAAGATGATACAGACAGCATTTCGCTTCTTTCCCATAACACCCCACAGTCAACAGCTGCCGGCACAACACAGAGGTGCCCCCACCCCACCCCTTCCCTTATGTGTATCCTGCAAAGGTAAGTGACCCAGAGAGAAAACAGTGCAGAGTTGTTGTAGGTGACCAGGAAAACCTGAAGGAGACTTTTAGTGGTTTGAGTGTTCTCCTATTGATCAGGTGGAATGGATTAATTCATTAAGAAATGGATTCAGCGCTGAGTGAATTAATATTTCATGGTAATGTGCGGGGTTCGAACGAATATTTTTTAAATGTGAGAGAGACGTACCCTTCACATATATTGTTGCAATGCCTTGGAGTATGTGTAGTGAAGGAGTTTCAGCTACTACCACACAAACTTTTAGCTTAACTGTAAAAATTATGCAGGAATAGCCATTTTGTAAAGTCACTTACCTGTGGCTGCCATCTTGCATTGTGTTGACTCCAAAATATATTCAGTTGTAAATGTACAGCCAATGATTACTTCCTGAAAGTGTCATTAAAACCCACCAGTGGTTCATGAAATATTTTACTGACAGACAGAGCTAACTTGAATATTCAGAGATAAGTTTTTTGGTAAAGATTTTGCACAATACATTGTGCTAAAAGTATGAGTTTGGGACAAAGCCCATTACGACATAAACTTTTAAAAACATGTGGAAAGTTGATTGAATTATGACAATGTTTGTGTTTTATAAAGTCAGTGGGCTTTGGCGACCTTACATTTGGTTGAATCCAAATGTTGGTAATTTGAAATAAGATATTTTTGCTAACAACCAGACAAAACTGATTTCACACGTTAATGGCAACGTTTTAAATATATTTTTTACATAACTCAAAGTATAAGCTGGGGATGACTTTCAGCTACTTCCACACCAAACTTTGGCTCAATTTCAATAATACTGGCTGAGTTTTAGCTGTTTTTCTGTTTGCTCAGATCGCTTTGCTGTGGCTGCCATGTTAAAACAAGTTAACTCACAAAGATAATCAGTTGCAGATGTCAACACAAGGATAACTTTCTGAAAATGTCAACATAATCTGTTCAGTGAAATATAAAATATGCTAACGTTAAAGACAAGCAGGCATAGAGACATGGGTGTAAACATATGTTGCTTTGCTTTCGGCTGCATGGTAATACAAAACTCAGGAGAAAAAACTAAAAAATCTTTTGCTTGCTTCAATTTAAAATAAATATTCTGGAAAGCAGAGAAGTTTGGAGGGGACAGAGGGAGGAGAGGATCAGTTTTAGTCGGTGCGGTTCTGGTATCGGCACACTGAAGCTCGTTGGCAGCACTGGAAGGAAGATTTTTTTTATTAGCCAGAAGGAGAAACAGAAAGGGGACTGAGAATGACAGCATGAGAAAGAAAGATGGCGAGTGAAAGCAAGGTATTGGCAAACACCACTGTTTAACAGGGCTTCTCAGATCCAAACACAGAGTTGGCCATTGATTGGTCGGTCGCAGTTAGGTCTTGGCACGGGCTGCTGCGACAGCTGCTTGGAAATGATGGAAGCCCCAGAGAAGGGAGAGCGCGACAACAATCCAGAATTACTGTGAAATTCTGTTGTCCCAGTCCATTTTCCCTGCGCAGCTCGGAACGACACTGACTGAAAAACAAGGAACTGCAACAAATCGGCAGAAGGAAATAAAGCACATTCAGACAGGGAGGGCGGCGTTTGGGGGTGAATATTGCTAAATGAACATGTAATATTTTGATGCGTTCAATCTTAAGTTCTCCTCCGAGGCTTGTTTGTGGGCTTGTTTCATTTCACGCCTTCATCTTAGTCTGGCGGGACTTATCATAAAGGCATTAAGCGCTAAAGACAAAATGAAATTGAAGCGTGCATGTTATTAGCGCTCCCTGTGAAAAGGAACTAATTCACACCAATTCAAATCAGCCTATTTATTGGTAATCAAGTTGTTTTGTGCAAGTGGCTCTTGTGCATTGAAACAATAATCAATGTGATAATTACTCGGAAGTTTCTGCTTAATGTAAATCTCTCTCCTAACATGGTGGGCTTTACCCAGCGGAGATCCAGATGGTGGTTTAACTATTCAGTCAACAGCCATCCCAGTAGATTACAACAAAATTATGTAAATACAAGCGTTGTACTACAAAGCCAACACACATCCTCACAAAAACTTTCACATTATGCTTTTTTTAAACCAACTTTTCTCTGATTATTACAGTTTTATTAGCTACAATTCTACCTTTTTGTGTCAATCACATCCCTCCACAACACAAATGCTCCATACACAAACTCTTATAGCTGTAGTTTTTTTTGTGTTTTTTTTTTTATCCTGACATTCAGCCCCTGAACGCACCCTGCTGACTGGAACTATGTGGGGAATGTGAGCATCTGGCTGTCAAATCTCTCCGTGATGAGTGGAAAACAAGCGCAGGTGATGGCAGTAGCTGAGATGGCCTGGGACATCTTGTGTTGTGGCACACTGACCAGCAGTTGAAGAGCTTGTTAACCGGGTCTGAAAGTGCCAACTGTAACTTGGATGACGAGTGCCAACATTAATGTGTTCGTATACGTGATAACTGGGCAAAATCTAATCCGCATCGTTAAGTTGATCTGCATTCCCTCTCCCTCTGCATGAACACGCTCTGCAGGTTTATGTCGTCTCTGGTCTGCGTGTTGCTCTGAGTGGCATATGGCTCATTTTCTGTAAAATGTCAGACTGTACAGTGAGTCAGCCATGGCAGGTGCGTGGGATTGACACATACTGTAAATCTCTGCTTAACAGCACACAGAGTTAAAGGCGAGCTCCTCTATGCAGAAGCAAATACGTTTGGAGGAAGAAGAAGAAAAAAATGTTCCACACAAACAAGTTTGGTTGCCTTCACCTGCCTGTGTAGCCACAACACACACACACACACACACACCAGGAGCCAGCAGAGTCAGTTTTGTGGAAGGTGACACAAAGCTGCTCAGACGCTCTTCCAGACTGCCAAGATTGTTTCAGTGGTGGGAAACATGCGCTGTGTAAACAAACTGTCACTCGTCAGCGCGAAGAAAGAATGGAAAAATGATTGCAGACGTAATGAGACACTGCTTTATGCTGAAAGTAACGCTCCTCACTTTTTTCAGCTCTCTACCTGCCTGCATGGCATGCACGTCCACGGCGAGTGTCTCCTGATGCTGCGGATGAGAGGCAGAGATGTAAAGAGTCTTGGGTTAATAAAGCATGCTCCATTTGCTGATGAAGTCTCGATGCAGAAGTGGGTAGTCTTGCTTTGAGTCATGTGATCTGACTCCCTCTCAGCTCCGCATCTCCCTCTCTTTTCCAGCTGGGCTACATTGTAACTCACACGCTCTCTTTCCAGACCCACACACACTCGCACACGCACGCACGCTCGCTCACACTCGCTCTGCCTGCCTGACACAGACTCCACTTACAGCGTTGAAGGGAGGACTGAGGCTCACACTATCAGCACAGCTTCTCAATGGGGGGATGCAGCCAAGAGCAGACAGAGCGGTCATTCCACCGGAGCCTTCCGCTGCACGCGTGAGAGGGGGACGACAAGTGAGGAGGGTAAAGTAGCCCCCTCCCATCAAACCCCCCCACCAACCCACCCCCTTTTCATCTCAGCATAGGAGTTTTTCTGACGGCTGAAGGGACACTGAAAATAAGGAGAGAACACAAAAGTGGCTGACATGACCTGCCTTCACACATCCATGTCCAGTTTGTGACAAAGACCCCCACCCTGACTGTTTTTATTTTTATTTTATTGCTTTCAGGGTGACTGACCTGGGAAGGATTGCTTTTTTTTCCTGAGGAGGGAACAAAAGGAGATAAATAATATTTTAAACCTCCTTTTTGTGCTTATCTGGTGGTGGAATTTCCAGCAGAGATCCCTGGCTTCACAGGATGGATGGATTTAAGAGAGAGGAGTGAGTCTGCTGAGGAGACGAGCAGATTCTGACTGAGCCTCTTTTCCTCCACTGCTCGGGTAAGGTAGGGATGTGGGACGCTGGAGAAATTCCTCTGGTGTTTGGGATGAAGCGCAGAGTTTGATGTGTCTGAGTTGAGTAAAGATCCCAAGTGTTGGCAGCCATCACAGATAGACTTTAACAAAAGATGCTCAGAGTAAGACACAGGACATCCCTCCTGTTGTTAAACAGTCGGTGCTTGAGGATGGGAGTCCCTGCTGAAGTGTCTTCTCAGTCTGATTCTGTCAGAGGTTTGTTGCGTGCAGGTGCATCAGTGGGGTTACGCACCTGCAGGTGCTCCTGATGTTTCTGCTCCGACCGCGTTTACTCCCTCCCGCTGGACCTGGCAGTCTGAATGTGAGCGTGAGCTCCTTTTTCAGGGAGCGAAGAGGTGCTGTTGAAGAATTAGACAGCTGTGTAGGAAGCCTTTTGTTTTGACGTGAAGTTTGTGCGAAACGACGCTCGCAGTCGTTTCATTAAAGTCCACTGTGCACTTTCAGCTCCTCTTATCAAGCTCATTTTGTTTTTTCCACAAGAGCATCTTCAGACTGTGTGGAATATATGTCTAAAATGAAGTGTGCACCGCTTCTTTCTGAAGATACTGTTCAAAAAAACGCCTAGAAATAACATATTGTGTGTTAGAATGAAAGAAAAAAAAGCTTTTATGCTGTTCTGGTAGGTTTGGTGCAGGGGTGGGGGTGCCCAGTTTAGTTTGAGTAATGATATGTTGAATTTTCATTGTTCATCAAGCAGCCCTCCTGAGTAACATTTAGCAGCCCTAATATAAATCTAATGCATGTCAAAACACAGAAAATGGTCGACTTTGGCTTTTTTTTTTTTGAAAAGCAGCTTTAACTGAATTGAATCACTTCTTTTCAAAAGTTAAAAGGTTCACGACTGTAGAGACCTTAATTTTATGCATTAGGCATTAATAATAAATTCACAGTTTCATCAGAGCTCATCAGATCAGAGTCACCAACTTTGCTGTGTGATAACTGAGTCCTTTAAATAAAATGATGTTCGCTTTAGAAAACTGATGGATGCATTCAAGGTTTTTAATGTCTTAAATGAAAGGAGTATTCTGATGGACCAGCAGGGTGTAGTTTTGAAAGCACAGAAGACACAGTAGAATTTGCTTTAGAAGAGATGGTGGGAATATCCTCAAACTTTCCATTTTGCAGTTCTGAATTGAGAGAAGTTCTGGAAACACCTGGTCAGGAAGAGAGGCTCTTATTCATCTAGGATGAAGGTGTGTTTCTCTTTGCTGGCCCTCACCAGGAATTAGACATGTTCTGAAAAACTCTCAAAAAGGATGTCTTTGTTAAGAAATGCAATGGAAAAAAAAATCATTGAATAATCTTGCAATTATTGTTAGTCATTGTTGCCATCCTCCCCATTTTTTGTCTTTAATTATAGCCAATTGTTCTCTTCTTGAATTTGAATCATTCTTAAACGGGGTTGAAAAGATTAACATTGCATTTGACCTTTCGGGAAAATGTATCATTCTACAAGGAACTTTCTTGAAGCTTCTGTTTTTTCCTTTTTATTTCCATTTACGCTGTTAAATAAAAACACTGCAAATACAGTATCTCTGAATAAATCACAAGGAACATGAGTATAAATATTTGTATCTGGTATGAGTATTGTCTCTTGTGTTTTTTCCATGTTGAATAATGAATTATGTCTTCTGTAAACATGTATGGAGACATTTGTAACCCAGTTGTGTTGTTCCTCCCGCTGTGTGCCGTCCTGCAGACTCAGCCTTATCATGTCCTGGTTGTTGGTCGTGTGGATTAGCCTCGGCTTCCTGCTGCTGTGCCAGGCCACGCTTTACCAGACCATCCAGCAGCACCACGTGGCCCGGCCAGGTCGCACCGACATCCTCACCCTGGGTATGTGCCTCTTTTTTGTTCAATTTTAGCATCACAGCACAGCGACAAGATGTTGACCTCTCTCTGCTCATCAGCGTTGGCTGAAACGCTGCAGCATGTCAGAGCGACTTGCCGTGGAACTGTTCTCTGATGGTTCACAACGCTTGTATTCATGCAAGATAAACAAAGGTGGAGACTTCTGATTGTACCTCTTACTTCGTTATTTGCCTTTTAATGGAAGAGAAATGGTAAACCGACTCATATTCTTCAGTTTAGATGTTGAGACGTACATCTTATTAGATCATCTTCGGTAACTGAGATGACTCAACTCTATAGCGAGGAATTCTTGACTAGTGTACCCTAAATCGTGTTAAGTTGGACAAGCTATGTGCAACAATTCATACTACTGTGTTAGTAGCTAAGAGGGTCTTTGATCACTGTGGTTCAGATTAACATGACGATTATGTTTCTCTCTCCTGCCCTGAAAATGCTTGTCAATTAGGCTCGACGCCTTCTGCACTGTAAAGGACTAAAGGGGAGGGTAGACACAGAGGCGGATTTAATTCTCTGATTATGGAAAATCCCACTCGAATAGTGTATGGTGTATGTGGGAGTGCTACAAGGAAAGGATATGTTTTTTAGAGCAAAGCAAATGCTATCCTTAAGCTTCTAACAATGAGTGTTACTTCCACGCGAACCCATGCGCAGAGTGGGGCTTTCTCTGGATGCCAAGCGGCTGTTAAACATTGATGCCGTCTTCTGCTTTGTGTGTGTTGCATTGCCAAGTAAAAAGACAGTAACTGAAGCACAGCGAAAGGGGGGAAAGTACAGTCCTAGATTCCCTCTCCTTGTGAACAATGGTGACTTTAAGCAGCATGTCAGAGAATTGGCTTACTTTAGCTCTGGAACAGCTGACACATGAAAATCCCAGCTACGATAGATGGAAAGTTCTCAAAGCGTTCCAGCTTCGTTAATTGGAGTTAGAAGTAAGGGACGTGCAACAGAGAGTTTGGAATACATTTTTAAAGGATGATTTCCATCTTTTTTTATTTTATTTTTTTCATTTTGTGTAGTTGGGAACTCAAGCTTGGTGCCAAACAAGCAGAAGGAAGTGCAAGGCTCAGTAAGAGTCTTTTTGTGAACATTGAACTGAAGCCAAATGGGAAGAAAAAGATTCTGCTGGTCTAAGGTTCAGAAGGGTTTCCTGTCTCTGACCTACTCACATACGTTATACCTAAGTGTCTTGATTACACATTTACATGAGCTCTTCCTACTCAGGCCATTATGGTGTGACGTTTTCATGAGTCTTCTGGGGAAACAGGAGCTGAGTTACCGACACATCAGGTCTGAGAAGATGCAGCCTTGCATTGTGCAGGGAAATGAGAAAAGTATGTGCTGTGAAATTATTCATGTCAAGATTCAGATGTCTTTGATGATGCTGGTATGCTGTAGACTGAGCTAATGTAGTCTGAATAACAACAAGGGGTACTTATAAAAAACAATGCTTGACAATAGGTGCATTTGGACCACAGAGAACCACTTCACAACCATTTAAGTAGTTGGCCTTTCTTGTGCATTTGCACACTTTGTGTTGTGAAAGTCACTTTTCTTTATAACTACATTTATCGAGTCATTTTCACCATGTCTTGGAGAGTAGACACTTTTTAGCTAAATAGGAGCACTTGTAAAAGTAAGTGATTAGTTCATACATAAGCGTTCATGGCTAAGCACATTAAACAATTTTCCCGCACCTCTGCTTAAATAAAACAATAATTACATCGCTGTAGTTAGAGGATAGTTAACAACTGTTTGCCTGAATGGACTTTCTAAATGTGTCACATGAGTCTAAACTCCCATAACTCCATTTTCTGAATGTTTGTGGTATTTTTTCCATGTAAAATAAGTAAAACCTAAGATCTACAATACATCTATAAATATAATATCCTCTATTATTGTTGGTGAAAGTCATATTATAATGTCAAATATTATATTTCTTTCTCACATTTTGGTACTTTGTTTTGTACAAACATGCTTTAATGTATGCTTTAATATTTCTTGTTTTTTGTTTTTTCTTAGTGAGTCAAATAATTTCTTCTCATCCTGAACATTTCATTGTATTGTTGACCTTGTGTCAACCTGCATATGACAAAAAACCAACATAACATAAGTGACACGACTGCGTGGACAGTCAACCTGGTGTTGAGCAACCACTGCATTCCTGGCAATGCATAAACAACCATGTTGTCCTCATAACTGCTCATAAGACTAAAGATTCCTATAATGCTCAGAGAGTTAATATATCTGCTTGGACCAAAAACAACTCATACATTCACCTGCTTATTAAAACCATTCTGTCCAATTTTAAAATGATATCTAGTTATAAAAGTTTAGCTTTTGAAACAACTTTAAGCTAACTATGATGGGCAACGTCATAACTAGCTTTGACAGTTACGATCTGAAGTCATAACGTTTTACAATCATAATCAACGAGCTTCCATGAAATGATGGTCTGTCTAGTCTGCAGGAGCACATTTCAGTCCTGCGGCTTTGCAATTTACTGTATATCCTGTATTTTTTAAGAGGATTAAGCTGACATCAATCTTACTCAGCCACTGAGTAGCTTTAACCGATCCAACCAGAACTTCTCTCTCAGAATTGAAATGCTATGATAAATATTTGAATTAGGATTGATTTTTTAACTGCAGAAGCTCTCTGGTTTCACTGAGTCCAGAGGCATCAACTATAAATAGCTTTGTACATGTAGGACATAGGAAAAAAAAAAAAGTATTATCTTTAAACATTAATTTGGTGAACTTAAGTAAAGTTTCCAGATTTCCTTCTTCTGTTTGACCTAAGTTATACATGTGCACCATCCGTTACTGAACGTTGGTCATTTATAAACCTAAATCCTGACTGGTGATATTAGGAAAAAGCTGCTTTCATATGCTTTGCATTCTGCTATGCCGTTGTATTGTTTTCTGAACAGTCATGCACCAACTTTCAAAGGGACATTGGGGCTTGGACAGCTTCCCAGAAAATGAGCTTTTGTAGAACTCAGAATGCAGCCAGGAGGGCTGTCTGAGAGACAAAGTGGTTCGAAAGCTAACACCTATCCAGCATCGACCAAAATAAACACAGAAAGGGATATGTGGGTATCTATAAAGAGTAGGTTGTGTTCTCTTTCTTATTCAAGCTTCTAACAGTGTTGAAAAACCAGCTTTTCTGCCTCCTAAACCTGCAGCGGAAGGTAACAATAAAACATCAAATGTGGAAGTAAAATTTCAAAAACAAATTTTCTTTTTCAAATGTTTTCCCAGGCAGCAAACAGTTATTGTAGATGGGGAGATTGAGTAACGGTTTTCATGGCTGCATTGCCACCAGCACACAAAGCGGCTCGGCTCTCTTTCCCATGAGCCTCCGCTTCACAGAGTCTCCCCTGCGCCCTGCTTGTGCAGCTGAAGATTGATGGCGTCCTGATTCCGGGCAGCCAATTCTGGTCTCTCAAGAAATAATCCACTACATTGACAGATGAGCTGAATGTGACATGACATAAACAAGCTGGGCAATGCACTCTCTCTACCTGCCATCGCTGAGCTGAAGTGCTCACTGACAACTCTGCTGCTGTTGCTGCACAAACTGGGCCACTCCGCTGCACATACTGGACTCTGTCAAAAACCAGTAATGGTGTAACCGCGCCATAATGTCCACACCTAACTGTAAGAAACTTATGCAGAATGGGCATCTTCTAGTAATAAAATTAAAGTGTTCCCAGATGTGTTTTGACTGTGTTATGCCATTAAGTAATACTAAGCAGCTATAGCATTAATTTACCCCTCGTTCAAGGAATATAGTCCACATTATACCAAAGCCCAGGGGTGCTGTGTGAATCTAACAACATTCAGGCTGCTGCTTTGTTTATTATATCTATGACAGGGTAGTTTAAGCGACTTTCGGTTCCGATTTAATGGAAGAGGCGCAGCTGAAAGACTAACCTTAACCTGTTACATTTGTTTTTAACCGGAAAAATATCTCGCTTTGAAAATAATCATATTCAAATGCTTTCAAAACTGTTATTTAAACAGTAATTTAACATATATATATATATACAAATATAAAAAGCTGAAATTATTAGTATTAGACGCAGTAGCTCTGCAGTTATGTTTTCACGCAGTGATTTGAAATGCATTATAAAATGTAATCCCAGATGATTGGAATGCATCCTAATGAGCTCATTGTTCAATGTGCCATACTGCTCCCCGAGCATTAAAAACTCTTTGAGCTGGAAGAAAACATGTAATTACTTTGATTAGTTGAGATTCGTCATATGGTCAAATAAGAGCAACAGTGTGATCACAAATTAAGAAAGGGAATAGTTTTAAAACATATCTTACAACGCATTCATGCTGCGATAAACTTTTGTACCTTTTAAGCTTTTCCGTGAGATTGCATGGTAAACACGTTAAACTACACTTGACTTTACAAAGCTGTCTTTTCTGCACACGAGGACTGGAAGAAGTTTGGAAGTCATACAAACTAACATGAATTGAAACGTCTCTTTCTGTTCTTCACTGAACGGATGGCTGATTCAGGAAATGCATGACTTTTTTTCTAGCAGCGTTCGGGAGAGCTAAGAAATTAACTTCTCTTACAAACTTAGCGCGCCCACACTTTTCAACTTGGAACTCATTTCCATAGTTGTCAGACTTCTCATTACTGTAGCTCAGTGTTAGCAGCAGAAACAAGGTGGGGGAAAAATATACGGTCTTTTCTCTGCAGTCATCTTCAAAGTGGTAATCCTTCCTCTCAAAGGGGAGAGAAGTTTTAAAGGATGAGTTGCAGCTCCGTCCACCACAGCCAACGTTAACATCTTTCCACACAGGCAGTTTTTGTTTTGCAATTAAATTCACTTTATTTACGTTCTCATTAAACTACGGGGACTAATTAGCGTGAGAATTGATGGCGAAAGAAAATTCAATTAAAAAACGGTTGCTTGAATAAGTGTCGCCTTCACTATGTTTTTG